CTATAAATGTCAGTGTGTCTTGTGGTTATACAATAAATGTCAGTGTGTCTTGTGGTTATACCATGTCAGTGTGTCTTGTGGTTATACCATAAATGTCAGTGTGTCTTGTGGTTATACCATAAATGACAGTGTGTCTTGAGGTTATACCATAAATGTCGGTGTATCTTGTGCTGATGCCATAAATATCAGTTTGTCTTGTGGTTATACCATAAATGTCAGTGTGTCTTGTCGTTATACCATAAATGTCAGTGTGTCTTGTGATTATACCATATATGTCAGTGTGTCTTGTGGTTATGCCATAAATGTCAGTATGTCTTGAGGTTATACCATAATGACAGTGTGCCTTATGGTTATACCATAAATGTCAGTGTGTCTTGTGGTTATACCATAAATGTCAGTGTGTCTTGTGGTTATAATATAAATGTCAGTGTGTCTTGTGGTTTTACCATAAATGACAGTGTGTCTTGAAGTTATACCATAAATGTCAGTGTATCTTGTGCTGATGCCATAAATATCAGTTTGTCTTGTGGTTATACCATAAATGACAGTGTGTCTTGAGGTTATACCATAAATGTCAGTGTATCTTGTGCTGATGCCATAAATATCAGTTTGTCTTGAGGTTATACCATAAATGTCAGTGTATCTTGTGCTGATGCCATACATGTCAGTTTGTCTTGTGGTTATACCATAAATGTCAGTGTGTCTTGTGGTTATACTATAAATGACTGTGTCTTGTTGTTATACAACAAATGTCAGTGTGTCTTGTGGTGATGCCATAAATGTCAGTGTGCCTTATGGTTATACCATATATGTCAGTGTGTCTTGTGGTGATACCATAAATGTCAGTGTCTCTTGTGGTTATACCATAAATGTCAGTGTGTCTTGTGGTTATACCATGTCAGTGTGTCTTATGGTTATACCATAAATGTCAGTGTGTCTTGAGGTTATACCATGTCAGTGTGTCTTATGGTTATACCATAAATATCAGTGTGTCTTGTGGTTATACCATGTCAGTGTGTCTTGTGGTTATACCATAAATGTCAGTGTGTCTTGTGGTGATGCCATAAATATCAGTGTGTCTTGTGGTTATACCATGTCAGTGTGTCTTGTGGTTATACCATAAATGTCAGTGTGTCTTGTGGTGATGCCATAAATATCAGTGTGTCTTGTGGTTATACCATGTCAGTGTGTCTTGTGGTTATACCATAAATGTCAGTGTGTCTTGTGGTGATGCCATAAATATCAGTGTGTCTTGTGGTTATACCATGTCAGTGTGTCTTGTGGTTATACCATAAATGTCAGTGTGTCTTGTGGTGATGCCATAAATATCAGTGTGTCTTGAGGTTATACCATTTCAGTTTGTTTTGTGGTTATACCATAAATGTCAGTGTGACTTGTGGTTATACCATAAATGTCAGTGTGTCTTGAGGTTATACCATGTCAGTGTATCTTGTGGTGATGCAATAAATGTCAAGTGTGTCTTGAGGTTATACCATAAATGTTAGTGTATCTTGTGGTGATGCCATAAATGTCAAGTGTGTCTTGAGGTTATACCATAAACGTTAGTGTGTATTGTGGTTATGCCATAAATGTTGGTGTGTCTTGTGGTTATACCATAAATGTCAGTGTGTCTTGTGGTGATGCCATAAATGTCAGTGTGTCTTGTGGTGATGCCATAAATGTCAGTGTGTCTTGTGGTGATGCCATAAATGTCAGTGTCTCTTATGGTTATACCATAAATGACAGTGTGTCTTGAAGTTATACCATAAATGTCAGTGTGTCTTGTGGTGATGCCATACATGTCAGGGTGTCTTGTGGTTATACCATAAATGTCAGTGTGTCTTGTGGTGATGCCATAAATGTCAGTGTGTCTTGTGGTGATGCCATAAATGTCAGTGTGTCTTGTGGTGATGCCATAAATGTCAGTGTCTCTTATGGTTATACCATAAATGACAGTGTGTCTTGAAGTTATACCATAAATGTCAGTGTGTCTTGTGGTGATGCCATACATGTCAGGGTGTCTTGTGGTTATACCATAAATGTCAGTGTGTCTTGTGGTGATGTCATAAATGTCAGTGTGTCTTGTGGTTATACCATAAATGTCAGTGTGATTTGTATTTAGTATTTTGGTAGTGTCTCTTGTGGATATGCAATGTGTGAAGCTCATTTCTGGTGTCCTCCGCCGTGATATTGCTAAAAGCCCCGTAAAACCTCACTCACTCACTCACTCTTGTGGTTATACAATAAATATTAGTGTCTCTTGTGGTTATATCGTAAATGTGTGTGTGTGTGCGTGCGTGCGTGCGTGCGTGCGTGCGTGCGTGCGTGCGTGCGTGCGTGTGTGTGTGTGCGTGCGTGCGTGCGTGCGTGTGTGTGTGTGTGTGTTCACTAATTTTAATGATATTCGTACCAATCCCGCTAATGTAAATATCTCCTAATTAACTGGTATTCATGCCAGATATGATAGTAAAAGTTACATTATTTTCAGACAAGTAGTATTATTTTTCACTCAAACCACACCGGTTGATGGTTATATATTTATACGTATACTAGGTAAATGTTCACATGCACGCTGTGCAATCGAGTGCAACGACCACCCATTTATCATAGGTATAATATATGGGTTTTATATGACTTATGATTATACTACACGGATGTCTATGGGAGAGTAACGACGTTTTGCCATGTAAAATTCTCATTCAACATTTGTCATTTGCACCTGGAATGATATAACGACTCATATTCCTGACCTTTGGGTCTGACTGCACCAGGGATGTTGGAACTACCTATAACACTCATACTTTGTCGTAACTGCACTTTCAAAGATATAACGACCCACAGCCCTCAACTTAAGGTCTTCTACATCTCGAATGATACACCGACTCCTAGCTCTCAACTTTGGGTCTAATACACATCGAAAAAATTACGACACACCGTTTTGAACATTTGGTCTACTGCGCCTCGAATGATATCGCTCCTCCTAAACTGCAAACTCGGATCTTTCTGTAAATCGAGTCATATTACTCTTTCTAATGCGTGCCTCTGTTAATGTTTATCATCCTGGCCGCATTATCCAGACGACTGCGAGTGACGCGAAAGTGTTATCTTTTTCTATGTCGTCCTTATTCTTAAACATGGACGTCTACAGAAATACAATGTAGTGTTTACTCAGAGAATTTCACCCTAATGTCTTTTGATATCAAATATATCAACACCAGATGATAAAAGTTGAAAAACTCCACTTTTATTAATGAGTGTTGATATATTAGATATCAAAAGACTAGTGGGTGAGATTGTATTTATCATCCAACATTATTCTTCCAACTTGTTCAGTTTATAGACAGTAATAAGCAGTGTCTTAAGTATGAAAAGTACTGTTAACAGCTTCAGTAGCAGAGCCATTAGTGATGTCATTTGATTGTGACGTCATGGTAACCAGTGACGTCACAATGGTCTGCAAAGCATTGTGATGCAATTTTATTGCAGCGATATCTACAGTGTAGCGATATCTCCTGTGGGAGCCAATTTTCGATGATAAATCTTCCACTCAGATTGTAAATCGTGAGTCATATTTTTCTGTCCGTATATAATTAAATATTAATATAATTTGCTTTATATCATTGTTACACTCAAAAATATGTTATGCATGCACTGCATTGACTAGAATGTTGTTTAAAAATAAAACAATGGATGGTTTGATTTATGCTAAACTGTACATGTCTGTATGATTGATCCTTATAATAATGACACTTGTATATTGTCGACAACAATAAACAAGATTTACATTGTGTTTGTGTGAACTAATCAATTTTTGTAAATATTAACACAGTCTTGATTACAAATATGTTTAACCCTGATCAATATGACACTGTCTGACAATATGTCTTGGCGTGATGATATATATTCAGACGACAGTCCATGCATATAAATATGATTGAGAAGTGATGACAAACTTCTACTTTTTGTGAGGTAATATGCAGATTTTCATCATCTTGACCCCTTTAAGGGAAGATATTCATGGGAACTAGACTCTGAAAAGTACTCATCTATATTTAGCCTGATTAATATAGATCTTTGTGCATTTTACAAATCCTTGACAGAAGTCACCATTTGAGTTTGTTTCAAATTGTTCAAAAAAAACCATGGTTTAAAGTCAACTTAATATGCATGAATGTTCGTCAGAAAGTACCAAAAGATGGAGAAAAGCAAGGGATGCACAATTACATGATAAGTAATATATTGTATCGACAGATGAAAGGGTTTTGATAAATTTGTAGTTGTCGTCATATTGACAACTCGAGGTGTAAAGTGATATTCATATTGTGAATTCGTTTTTTTAAACTGCAAAGAACAGAATTACGAACTGAAAATATTCAATGTATAACTGAGCATTAATATTGAAAAAAGCCATACAGTATATCATATGTGTATTTAATACAGAATGGAATTAGGAATCTCAAATTGGAATATTCTTTAAAAATTGCCCACATACTGAGCGTCCTATCAAGGTCCTTATAGCCTTCACTGCAACATCACATTGTCAGAGACCACGCGAAGAAAAAAGATCCATCAAGACCAGTCTGTAAATGATTTCTGTGATCCTGAAGGGCGGAGGCTATAGCCAGGGAGCGTGAATTCTACCAGCTGATCAAGAGGACGACTTTCCTGACGCTTGAAAGGATCTCAGGAACTTCAGTTGACTTTTCTCTCGACTTATGGGAAATAAAAGCGACATTTGTGCATTTCTTGTGAGCCATTTCCCTCAACGTTTGGAAGTTCTGGTTGGGAAAAGGCTCGAGGGATGGCTAGGGCTCGTAGAAGACCCATTGAGACTGAAGACATTGGCAAATGTCATCAAAACCCGCTCAACGAGATCAGCTGGGAATTTAGATTCTATTTGTATTCATAACCGCTCTCTGTCTGTGTGTCCTGTCCAGCGATGCCATATTGCAGGGTTGGTCCTCTGATTGCTAAACCTTGGTGTGTTGGGCGAGGACTCTCTTCGTGTTAGACGCTCATTAAGGGCTAACAAAGGGGAAAGGGGAGAAAGATGGAAATAAATTTCACTCAAGAAGACCAACCGCCGAGTCTTGATTTTTCTACCAAGGAAGTCAATTATGAAGAATTTCGTTTGTTACAACTGCACTTGACAGCGAAATTAGTGCGAGTTCCAGTTTTATTGCATCGGAAGAATTGCTGCAGATTGTTACAGAAAGCAGGTCAGGGAAGGTCGTGAATGTATTCAGCTCATACCCAAGTTTATTTTGCTCCGTCATTTAGTCTTTGTTATCGCATCAGGCGCCACACCGCCATTCTCAGAGCCGACTCCGCGATCAATATACCTGCGCGTGGAAGCCACGCACCGTTTGATTGTCACGTGACTCGAGAGTGTGCTCAATTGAAGCAAGTAGGCTTTAGCAGACGACTTTTATAGATGGAGGTTCCTCCACATACAGGGTTAATAAAAATCAAAAGTCGTTTTTTCTGCGGTGGTCATTTCGGTACATTGGAATGTAAAGAGTAAGAAGAGTGTATCGTTGTCAAACGCTCACTGTGGATATATTTGATCAGAACCCCTTGTGAGGTGTCTTGCAAGTGGTCATCGAGAGGGCGGGGCAAGCGCACCTTGACGGCTCCTTTGATGTGCTGAGGTAGTGTACCTGGATGACGAGAACATGACAGCTGACTCGAGCCGTGCTCAGGTGAGGAGCCAGGTATGAAAACGGATGACGCAGAAGGGGAGGGAGGGTAAGCGCGAACGGCATTCGCACTCGGAGGAGTGGGGGAAAGGATGAAGACCCTCGTGGACGCAGAAGCGGAGGGATGGAGAGTGGCAGCATGTGCTTGTGGATGGATTAACGTTAAGGTAGGTCTTACTCTGTACACACATCACAACATAACACCCATCGCCTATAGGAGTGCCACATGTACACACAATCGTGTATATCTCGGCTGTACATTGCGGTTATTGGACTTCTTTGACGCTGTTAACTTGGATGTCTCCAGATTAGATCGCTACAGTCGTGGTCGTCTTTATTCAGTTGAGATTGGATTGAGATGTAATGCGGATTCCGAATGTTGAGAATTGTAACCAGTTATTGTTCAACGGCGCCGTAACGCGAAGCTATGTTGTCCTCCGGCATACGTTCCTTCAGTTAAACAGTAGTTACTGAGCTTGGGCTAGTTTTCAGACGTACTCCTATGGTTTAGTATTAGTTCCCTATATGTTCATCGTTATTTGCTCTCTCCGCCAGGGTAATGTGGCTTTCAGTCTTTGAGTTTGTAGATTTAACAATTCAATGTCTGAGGATTCACTGTAACACTTAATGGCAATCGTTTGTGATAATCTTATCTATTTGTGTTTGTGTGTCTTCAAATGACTCTACCGCATTTCTCATAGGTTTATGGTGTGTGTAGTTGTCACATTTATTTGCTGGCCAGTTTGTTAATTTGAGACGGATAGACATCCAACTTTCTGTTCATTAAATATGTTCGGTGTTATCCATAAGTGATGTGGAATGTTAATCTCAGACGTATGGCTTATTGTTGGAGGATATAGATCTTGGTTTGTGACTCAAACGTAGGGTATGGTTAATACTTTGTCCATCTCCCGTGGGTATAGATGTTGGTTTGTGATTTGGAACTTGTAGTGGTGAAAGCGTGGAAAACGAACAGACCTTGCTCGACTACGGGTATTCTTGGGTAAATAATACAACATAAGGCTGTTATTGCTTGAGAATACACGTAATTGACGTGGTCCCATCTTCATCCAGACTGCTTGAATAATTCACCAGATCCTTTGGGGTTCCACGGTCAGCGGAATGATTTTGTCCAGGAGAGTAGTCCCCAAAGCCTTGAGGACCATTATAAAGTCACTCTCTTTAAACTAATGAGCCAAGGAAGGCATCCGCATTTTCATTTGATGAAAATTACATCAGATAAATGATATCGGGGCTTTGAACTCCGGCTCATACAAAATGCATCACATGACTCTAATAATTGTTGCTTTATTGGCTAAAATCGATGGCGCCAGTGGCGTGTGACAACTCGGAACAAATGGCAAGAGATGTGTGAAAATGTTTGTCTTCTTCAACAATTATGTGGTGGTTTGTGCAACATTTTGATGCTGTCTTAATGGTTGTTGCTAATTAGCTTCATCACAAGCGAGGCTTTGTCGGTGTTAATAGGATCGCATAATTGTTTGCTATAGCAAAACAGATTTACATCTTTCAGTTCGGTTTTAGCAACTATTACCTCGTCCATTTGCCAATATTCATTATCAAAGTTTAAAAACGTAAGGTTGAGTTCCTAATATTTGAAAATGATGGCCATTAATCCTTGATAGATTACATAGCTTTCTGGTACCACACAACAGTCTGAAACGGTTAAGTACTTAATGCTTTAATGGGTTTGATGACAAATGCACAGTGCTCGATTCCATTTTCTGAAGATTTTTCTCTGACCAAACAAATCATCCCAGATAACTATCATACTTTACTCAGTTTCACTATAATACCGGTTAATGTCCGCCGACACAAAAACAAGATAACTGTCCCAACTCACTGATGTAACATGATGCAACTGAAATCAAGGGATGGACGTTTAGCGCCCGATCACTTCGGCCCACTTCATCATTCCTTGGGGATACATTAAGTGTATCAAAGTATACAGTGCTGTGGGCGGATAGAGTAGACCAGTGATAGCAATCACACTGTGTCTGACAGATGAGGGGACGTACACAAATGACAGTCATGGATCCGACGCTCTAATATGTCCAGGGAAGTGTCTGTCTTGCAGAGGACTATCTGTAGATCATTGTTAGACAGATTTTAACCCCACTTTGGCTTGCGGTTGTTAATTCCTATATTTTGAACATTCATGTTCAATATTTTACATTTACACTTCAAACATCACACATTTTATCATGAAATATGCAGCTATTAAGTGACAAGGATATGATACTTCATATGTCACAGCCATTGTGTTAACAGCTGCTGCAGATGAATAAATTAGTATTGAATACCTTTGTGCGATAGATAATTGTGTACATACCAAACTAAGGTAAATGAGAGTCAATGAACAGTTAGAATAGACATATGAATATATAGAAGAAATACATATCGAGCCCGTGAATTATCAACAATCAGTATTGGCGTAATTGAGCAGAATCACTGGAGGAGGAATAACTCCAGTAAATGTTCATTGTTGTGTATTTCAGAGGATACAGGTCATATATCGGGACATGTGTTCCCATTAGCTCTCGCATTTACAATATTGGTATCATGTTATAATTATGATCCTGACCGACAGATGTTTTTCTCTGCTTCCCCCTTTACTGAAGAATTAATGGTTCTGGGAGGGGTTTTGACGGTGGTTGCTTTGTTATGTAGTACAGGGTGTGTGGACTAAGATTAACCTTATGAATAGTGTTTAATTCCCAGCAGATTATAGTTTCCTTAATCAGCTCATTTTATACCCTGGTCTAAATCTCAAAATTCTTACTTAGCAGCCAGGTCATAAAAGCTTCATGGCCAGCTGTATAAAAGCAAACTCATAACGGTTATGCGTGACCTTTGGGGTTTTGTGAAGTAGAACTGAATATGTTGTTTCAGTTAATCATGAATATGTCCATGATATTACACATGCAAAATAATCTACAATAAGGGTTGAAATTGCTTGCATGACGATTAACTATTAGTCTCAAGAATGTACATTATTCTAGCTTAAATATTGAGACGCCTTCGTCTGATGCTATTACAGCAGTGTCCGCAAATGCATCTATCTACCCATGTTTCTTGTTGCGTGTGTGTGTCACTGTTTCTATGTATAATTCAAAATGTATATAATTGATTTTTGAAGCCTCTCCCATGCTAATCTTGAGTCATCCGAGAAACCCACGCTATCGTGTAATTGAAGGCAGCTCAGCGTATCCTTAGGTAAAAATGGCGACAAATATATGACTTTATAACACGAATCGGAAAATACGTGAACGGATGGAAGAAATAGGAAAACACATGTATCCTATTTTTTCTGATTATGTGACACGGTAAATGGTTTAAATATATACTTGTCTAGCAATTTGTCTGTACCGCAATGAAACCGTTGATGCATATTCCTGAATAGATTCTCGTGAAGAAGCTGAAAGTAGATGGCTTATGGTTACCAGTTCATAAATAACTGATGTTGTAACAAAGTACTACATTGATGAAGCCGATGCTGTTCAATAAGGGTATGGCTCTTTTCATTGCATCTAATTCATGATGTGGTTCTATACTATGTATCAGATGAACAATATCAAGCTTTTCAAATTCCCGTGCTATTGATATTTTCCAATAATGGTTCATTTTAATGAAAAAGTGTTGATTGGAATGTGATGATGTACTATACGAGGAACATAGACTAGTTGCAGTGTATAGTTGAACCCTGAGTAATGAAGTATTGTATGGCATTGTTAATATATCTGCCCCGTGTTATTGTTCTCTAATTGAATCTTAACCAACACTCTGGATCACAATACAAGCATTCGCTTCAACATTATATTGACAACATCCTGATACGGTAGCATTCACGAATGATAAGAGAAAATTGCACACCAGCTGTATTTTCAATGGCACCCACAATCAATATGAAAGATAAAATGATTTGTCACTGCTCCAAATTTTACATTTTTGTGATAACACCAGCAAAAACCATAACTAAAACTTAAATCTCCTAGATGGTGGAATGTGTGCTTTTATCATTAATAAGCAAACATAAGTTTTGAGCACGGTTTGTTAATGAAAAAAATGAAACCAAAGAAAATTCTGCTGAGGGTACAATTTACATTATATATGTAACCGTTTGAAACCTGTTATTTCGTTTGGAATTTTACATTTTATCGAAAATGCTGTCGGGGAACTACTCAATAATTTAAAGCGTCTAGCTTCAAACCGGTGCCAGCTTGAGCATGTCCTGGGTATATATAGCTGTTGTGTCCATATGGAAATACTATGGGGAAGACCAAGAACTAGTGTAATAGATGTGTAGAATGTTAGTGGTACTGCCGCAGCTCGGTAAGTGCGTTAGGGAACGCTGTTATGCGTTGAGGAAGTCTGCAATTCACTCAAAGTAGAAGTCATCGTAACCCAACAAATACGTGCAGCAATTTAGATACCTACACCGAAAAAACACTCTTTGAAACGGTTCCAGCATTCGTTACATTAAGCCAAGGCGCTGCGAGGATGTTCCAGATATTGGATTTGAGTAGTCTGGTGTATGTTACTTTGAACATTGAACTCCATCATCCTAGACACTTATACTATAACCCGAAAAGCCGTATGTGCAACCTTTGTATGAGCCCTTGTCTTTCCAACAAAGGCTTTAGGTGGACAGCGTCCATGTAACACAATAGTGATCGGTGATACAGGGCGCCTTGATGGATTAAGCGGTCAATGGTCCTGTCTGTGTCTCCTTGAGTCCTTTATACCACAAAAAATACCAGCATCCGGCCTGTATCCTTGAAGATACACATTACTATATCGGAAACATTATAATTTAAGACTTAGGGTCGGCTGGGATCGCGTTGTATTGATACGGTGTTATTTACAATGCTGGTAATTATCTCCTGCTTTTAAACAGTCAGTTGTAATGAAATTAGATACACGCTCTGAACAATCGATTGGAACGATAAAAACATCTGTCCTACATCTTCGAAATTGGCGACTGGAAAATAATATGATCGGCGATAGCTATTCAGCAGTTGTGTGTGTACAATTAAGTGACTCTCAACTGTGTTGTCGTTGTTTTGCAATTGTTGAAGCAATTGCAACGGGCCGGAGTGATCGTCACCATAGGATCTGCTTAATCATAATCTCACTCCTGCTAATG